GAAAGTGAAGTTCCTCTTATTTTCCATGTTAACCTGATTTTTTGTCCTTGACCCATTGCCTCTCATCTTCTTCCTCCTGATTCATTTTATTATTTTTTAAATGAAATTTTAGCTCTTTTATGTGTGTATGTGGCTAATTTTTAATTTTTTTAATTAATTTTTTTCCAATTACAGTTGATATTCAATATTATTTTACATTAGTTTCAGATGTGCAGCATAGTGGTTAGACATTTATATAATTTACAAAGTGTTCCTCCTAAAAGTCTAGTGCCCACCTGGCACCATATGTAGTTATTACAATACTATTGACTACATTCCCTCTGCTGTATGTCACATATGTGATTATTTTGTAACCACCAATTTGCACTTCTTAATCTTTTCACCATTTCACCCAGCCCCAACCCCCTTATTATCTTAAGTGAACTACTGTCCCTTGAGAAAAACAAAGAAAAACCTTTCCTCAACCTATCAATTATATCAAGTCATCATTTCATCACTCTGTTTTTATCAATATTTTCTAATATTTAAAACAAGTGTCTCTACTTTGTCCTCTCTTCTTGAACCCTGGAAAACATAGTTTTGGTCTTTGTCTTTCTATTATAGCTACTCTATTTAAAGTCACCAGTGGCTTTTAAGTGCCAAATTCAATTGCCTATTCTCACCTTCAAAAATATGTTATGTTAGTTACTACAGTATTCTTGCAACTCATTTCACTAACCAGGACTTCTAGCGTGCGATGACCTCCAATTTGTTTTTCCTTCCCTTTTGATGGCTCTTTTTGTTTTCTACACTGGCTACTCTCTATCACTCACCACTGTCAAGTTGTCAGCATTCCCCCAAAACTCTTCACATCTCTCCCTTTCCTCCTTGAAGAATTTAGCCATTTCATAGCTTCAATTATCTCTTTCTGTAAACCACCCAAACTGCTTGTCTAGATTTGTTCAAGACCTACCTCTTAACTATTCCTTCTTTAACTCATTCCACAAACTGATGCCCATTCAGTAATCCTAAGACAGAACTCTGAGAAATGATTCCACCTTGTCACCAAAACTTCTGAAAGATGTCCAAATACCTTAGCCTGACATATAGAACTTACTGTTTTTCTCCAATCTTAATATCCTACTGTATTCCCTCACATATATTCTTTGGGTACACTGGATAGCTTGCCATTCCTGACCATGGCATACATGTTCTTCCTCCCTCCCTCCTTCCTATCTGTCAAAATCCAACCATCCCTCAAGAGTTATTTTAAACAACTCTTTTTATATGAAGCCCCCAGTTGGAAATACTTTCTTCTTGTCTTTACTTCTACTGTATTTGTGGAGTGTTTTATGGCATTTAACATATCCTACTTTGTATATAAATGTTTGTTATCTTGCCTCGTTCCTTCAAACTCCTTGAAGGATTATTGCTTGCTTTAATCTATTTCCTTATTGGACTATAAACTTGATAGATAGTGATTTGGCAGTCTCTCTGCTTATTCGAATTCAGTTGTTGCTGTGAGGAGCTTCCTCTCATGAATGCCCTTTCTCTCTCTTCCATAGAGTCGTCCCCCACTATACGACTTGACTGCCATGACAGTGCCTACTGCAATGTGGGTTGGTGGAAATGATGTCCTTGTAACAATCCAGGATGTGGCCAGGATACTCCCCCAAATCAGAAATCTCCATTACTTCAAGCTGTTGCCAGATTGGAACCACTTCGATTTCATCTGGGGCCTCGATGCTGCTGAACGGGTGTACAGTAAAATCATAGATTTGATGAACGCATATTCCTAAATAATACATCTACTTTTCAGTTAAAAGTTGCTTCCAAGCCCATGAGGCTTTGGGATGAATACAAATCAGCAGTGAGGTCTGCTCCAACATCCTCCACCTTCTTGTTGTTGCTGAGTGTTCCCTTATCATGGAATCTCAACCAGGAATTATTTCAACTGTGCTGCTCTTTCTCTAAGAAATGTCCACATCTGAAATCTCAGAATCTTTACCCCTCAGTCAGGGCTCTTTTTCATCCAAGAAGATCTAGTAAATTTTTCTCTGCTAAATGTACACTTCGGAGAAGAGTTAAAAGAAGACTTTTTCCAACTTCGATTATACACAATGGATTCATGAAAACGATACCTGCTCCCCATTCCCTTTTTTAAGGGATTGAACATAAGCAGAGTGCAGGCCTAGGGAGAAAGACCATGCCAAGGCAGCCATTGGGAATATATTTTGGGAGGCTGTAATCCTATGGCTTACTTGAAATCACAATTGGGGTAATAGTCATTATGTCATTCTATAATCAAGCCATGAAATGAGGCCTGGTTCACATCAAACATGAAAGAAAACAGCAGAATGAAAAACTAACAAAAAGTAAGTATTTTAGGAGCTTATTTTACTGTTATAAGCTAGGGAAAAAAAAAAAAAAACAAGATTGAGAATTGCTAGAATTAGCTGCATTACTAATTATTAAAATTATTCACGACAGGTCACTGTCTTTAAAACAAGATTAAATTAATAAAACCTTTTGATAATAGTGTACTGGAGTTCACTGACAGTAGGCAGTAGTCTTAATTTGTATCATACAAGAAATAATTCTCTCGTTTTGCTCTAAAATACACTCAACTGATCAAGCATTATGTTTTTATTATCAAAGTAGAATTTATACTACTGCATTTGTACCTAAGTAACATTTAAAGCAGTCCCAGAAAGCCTGATTTAGAACCAGCAAGAGAGGCACTGGGAATATCCAAAATCTTGCTTTATTTCAGTCTCTAAATGATGCCAGACATTGATTCTAGGATTTAGTACAGAGTTCCAAGAGTAGCATGAAGTTTTAGTGTCAGTTCAAGTTACACATTTGTAATGTGGGCATTTTTTCTGTTATGTGTATTTCAATAAAAAAGTATTTTTTAAAAACTCTAAGCTTTTGTGCTTCAAAGCAAGAAGTACAGAAGAAACCATGTTCCACTTTTACCATACCAGTATTTTTTATACTTTATTCCTGCATATGATAGCAAATATGTTGGCTATCATAGGTCTGAGTAATAGCTTATATTTTTTTGCAAAGAGTTTTACATGAAATATTATTTAAAACTTATAACCCTATGGGATAGTACTATGGTCGTTTTCATTTTACAGGTGAGAAAATTGAAGCACAGAGTAAAATGAGGCATAAAAACCAATTTGCCTAAGATTGCACAAGTGAAGGAGTCATGATTTTAACTCAGGAAGTCTAACATCCCAGAATCCACACTGCAACATATACCTATATAAATGTGTTCGAATGGTATATAAATGACAGTGGAACACCCTGGCAAAGGTCATATTTGTACTAACCTAGATCAAAATTACTTGGAAAATTAAGTCAGGAGATGAGAAAATAATTTTTTTTCAAACTCTAAAGATCAAATTGAAATGAGTTAATAGATTATTTCTACCATATTATCCAGCAATCCTGCTTCTGGGTATATATCCAAAGGAAGTGAAATCACTTTCTCAAAAAGATATTTGCGTTCCCATGTTTATTACAATTTATTATTCACAATAGCAAGACATGGAAACAACATAAGTATTTATCAGTGGATAAATGGATAAAGAAAATGTAATACACACATACACATACACACACACAATAGAATAATACTCAGCCATAAAAAGAAAGGAAATTCTGCTATTTGCAACAACATGGTTGGACAATGAGGGCATCATGTTAAGTGAAGTAAGTCAGACAGAGAAAGACAAATATTGTACTATCTCATTTATATGTGTAATCTAAAAACATCAAACTCATAGACACAGAGAGTAGAATGACTGAGGGGTGAGAAGATGTTGGTACAAACTTTCAGTTACAAGTTAAATAAGTTTTGGAGATCTTATGTACAGCATGGTGTACTGGAAAGTTACTATGAGTGTAGAGCTTTAATGTTCTCACCCTAACAACAACAAAATAGTAATTATGTGAGGCGAAGGATGTGTTAACTAATTTTATTTGTGATAAGCATTTCATATGTGAAGTGTATCAAAACACATGTACATCTTAAACTTACACAATGCTATGTCAATTATATCTCAATAAAGCTGAAAAAAATAAGATGAATAAAAGATTACTAGTCAAGTCAATTATAACACACTTTTTGTTGTTTTGTATGAAATATCAGGATCATACCCAAGTAGGCATAGAGTCTAGCAATCCTTAATTGATGAGGAACTTATATTACTGACTGTGTAATATGAATTTATGAAAATTTGACAGTTTCTCCTGTTTTTCTTACCCTTACATTTATACGAAGCAAGAAACTCATGCTCACAACCCTGTAACAGGCTCAGTAGGTTGCTACATTTTCTCAAGCCAAATAGCCCATTCACAATTTTTATAGAACAATACAAGTAATAACATTAACTTCAATCAAAACAAATTCATGTCAAATGCAAATTCTTTGATGAATTTCTTTCAGAAAATATCAGTTTTAGAGAGCTGAAACTTGACTAAAATGCAAATGCAAATTCTTTGATGAATTTCTTTCAGAAAATATAATTAGTTTTAGAGAGCTGAAACCTGACTAAAATAATGACTTTCTGAGACTCATTAATCCAAGAGCAAGGATGGTATTTGCCCACTCAGGGCCTTACTCATCTCTGACCACTGGCCCATTCTCCTCCCACAGGAAACTCATTCACATCTCCCAAAGTGTGGTGAAAACACCACCATTTCTGAAAGTTTTCCCTGAATCTCATACCCCAAAATTAATACTTCCTCTGCTAAATCACTTTTTGGTATGCTTCAGAATTATCTCTTTGAAGACTTTTGTGTATAAGTCTATCTCCCTAATAAATTTTAAGTAGCTTGGGAACAGGAGCTATGTCATTCTTATCTTTTAACTTTTAAAAAACTTTTTATTTTGAAATAATATAAATTGATGGCAAGTTGCAAAAATAGTATGCAGAGGTCCCACATACCCTTCACTCAGTTTTCCCAAAAGGAAAGATCTTACATAGCTATAGTATACTCTCAAAATCATGAAATTGACCTTGGTATAATCCACAAAACTTATTCAGTTTTCTTCAGTGTTATATGCTCTAGTGTGTGTGTGTGTGTGTGTGTGTGTGTGTGTGTGTGTGTGTGTGTGTGTAGTTCAATGAAATTTTATCACGTGTGTAGATTGTGTAACCACTCCCACAATTAAGATACAGAACTATCCATTGCCAAAAAAATTTCCCTTGCGCTATATCCATTTGTAGTTAACAACCACCTGACCACCCCCAACCCTCCTTAAACCTGACCCCTGGCAACCACTAACTGTTCTCCATCTCTATAACATTGTGCACATGGAATTATGTAGTATGTGATGTTTTGATACTGGCTTTTTTCACTCAGCATAATGCCCTTCTAGGCCATGTAAGTCGTTAACATATATCAACTATGTCTCCTATGGCTCCACCACTGTTTCTTTAACCATTTACCCGCTGAAAAATTTCTGGTTTATTTCCAAATTTGGGCTTTATTGTTTAACTTTTCAGCACTTAACAAAGTAACTTGAAAATAGAAAACATTCCATTTGTATTCATTAATTTAAATGAATTGCTAGTCCCACCCAAAGCAAAATTTTGAGCTGATACTATTTCTAATGTGTATATTGCACTAAGGGGAAATGTTAGTTTCTCTAAAAGTTTTCATTAATTTGACTACAGTCCTTCACTCATATCTTAATCTGATATTTAGAGATTGCAAAACATTGATGTAGTTCTCATTGTATTTTAGAGTTCTAATGTAATTTAAGAAGTGCTTTGGGGTAGAGTGAACACAGATTGCTAGTAGTCCTGACAGGTTATAAAATACTTCCCCCAGCCAGTGTCAAGATGTGACAGGTCTTTTAGTCCCGTCAAAACCTCCCTTGACATCATCACATCTCACACAGAGCCAATCCAAATGAAAATAACAATAATATTGTGCAGTTATTAGAAATCTTACATCTACTATGAATAAAAATAAAAGCACCAATTTTTTTTCTGTACCTCCTACCTTCACTTGTCATTTTAATTTGTATGCAACTTGCTTTCCTAACCAAATCAGTCAACTGAGCTGAGAAAATTAATTTATTTGGAATGCTATGTGCCCTTTATGAGCTTCACCAAAATAAGCACTTACAAAAAATACCTTCCGTGTCCTGCAACTCACCACCTACCGCCTCCCCAACCCCTGAGAAAAGATCCCTGGAAACTCGGCTTTAGGTAACGAATCCCTGGTCCTAGATTCTGTCAAAGCATGCTCTCAACAGTGTGGGGCAGAGAAGCTCTGAACATCGAAAACAGAAGCCAACAAAACAGGATGAGGGTGGAGCAAAGGAAAAATTACTAACCACATACTCTACAAGACTTGTCACAGGGATATGTGGAAATTACATGTTTATATGTTATAATGAAATAATACATTATAAAAATAGTACATGTGTATTATAGAAAATTAGAAAAATGCAGATGTTATAGAAATTGTTTAAGGCTAAGTAACTTCTTTAAATGGATTCTTTTTTGGCATTGGTGTGTTACACATCCTACTCCCAGTTATTTAAGGTTTTGAAGACAAATATAGAAAGTTATAGTTTAAAAAAAAAATCTTAGCTCTTTTAATATTGAAAAGACTTCATTTTTCTAAGTAATCAAAGACCTGAGAGAGACAATGTGAAGTATAGGAAATATTTAATAAGACATAGAATCTTTACTTCCTAGGCAGATTATGTAAAAGTAAAGAAAAACTTTTATAATCTTTCATTAAGAGAAGACCAATAATCTAAGATATT